AAAAGTTTAATTTAAAGAAAAAAAGTCAGTACATCCAAATATGAGTTAATACTTTATTAACTGGTTCCAGTTAACTTCAGTTAGAGGAACCACCATTCTTTTAGACATTGAGGCTAGAAAACTGAGGGTCACCCTTTATTCACTCCCCTCTCTCATTCTTTCCCCCTCCCCATTGTTAGGTGCCATCAAGTTGATTCCAACTCGTAGGAACCCCATAAGACAGAGTAGAACTGCCCATAGGGTTTCCCAGGCTTTAATCTTTATGGGAGCAGATCACCAAGAGCCACTGGGGTGCTAACCAACAGCCAACATTTCAGTTAGCAGTTAAGTACTAACCACTGCACCACCAGGGCTGCAACAATGGGCTCAAATACAGCAACAATTGTGATAGTATAGGCCCAGGCCATGTTTCATTCTGTTGTGCACAGGGTCGGAACCAACTTGACAGTACCTAACAACACATATTTTAAGTATGTAACTCCTACTTCTCAATCTCTGTATGTGTTGTTATCATTATTTCAGGTACTTGTGATTTGGGGCTGGTGTCATTGACCCAAAAATATGCCCCTATCACTTTCTGGCTTAACATCTTCAGTGACTTGCCGTTCCTTTGAGAATGAGCCGTAGCTTTAAATATGACAGGGAAGGCCCTCCGTGATCCCCTCACCTTACCCTTGCAGCCTCTATCAATATGAATTCTTAGTTTCAAGCAACAGAAACCAACTCTGCAGTGAGAGAAGTAATTAGAAGTAATGAATTAGTTCTCAATACCGCGTAGAAAACTGCAGACCCAAGCTTCAAGCTGCACAGCCAGCAGCAGCACCCAGAGCCTTGCAGCAGGACTGGCCTGGAAATGCTGTGGTCTGCGCTGCTGCCACTGCTGAAGCCAAAACTAGACCCTGCTGGACGGCTACTGCTGTCTTTGAAAAGTCTTCACTGTCCCTGCTGTTTTGGGTCACTAGTCTCCAGTTCCAAACCAGTGAAGATGTACCTGATGGGTGGAATGGGACTTGCAATAGCATTCACACGTGTTCCACCATATATGTTTGTAAACAGGTGCCCTTTTTTGAACATTTCTGTCTCTGGGCCCCTATCCTTTCTACTTTCTAGTAGCACATATACAGGTGTAGATGTGGCTTATTTTGGAAGGTGGGGAAGCTACCTTAACAGGAAATAAAGCAGGCAACACATTCTCATGCCTTGTTTCATAATATATAACAAGAGAATCACTATCATTCCAAGTGTTGATTGAGTAAAAAAATTAAACAGCAGAAAATGTGTGTGAGTGGTCTGAAACGCAGATGAAGTAAAGTCAGGCCCTATGCTGCTCAACCACTGTGTGCCAACCCTGGACAAGGAACCACCCAGGTGGGGCTTACTAAGTGGTAGCGAGGGTCTCCACCATGTCTTGCTGGGGGATTTTCAAAAGTGATTTTGACGATGTGTGTTTTCTGTCTTGTGAGCCGACTCTTGATCCTGGCTCTGCTGTATAACTGCCATTCACACTTCAAGGGGCAGGCCCCTTCTTCTCCCGATTCTGCTGAACAACCCAAAGCCAATTTCACGTGACAAGAATCCAGTCTTTGTAGGTCCCACGAAGTACCCATGCTTTTGTGATCCTATTAGGTGGACCTACCAGGTTAGCAAGCTATGGAGTGGTGAAGGTGTCCTTGTGTATGAAGAAAAAGTAGAACTTTCTAAATGGGCAGCAGACCTTCTCCCTGAGAGTGAGCAGTTGGATCTGTGGGCTCAGGACCATGGTTGTGGGGGACATCAAGCTCGACTAGTATAACATGCAACACAAATATATTGTTCTACATTCTACTCTGGTGAGTAGCGACTAGGGTCTTAAAAGTTTGCAGTTGGCCATCTAGATGCAACAATGAGTCTCTCCTCATCCAGAGTAAAGAAGAATGAAGAAGACCAACGATACATGAAACAATTAGTCCCCAAGGGACTAGTAGGCCATGTGATCCTCAGCCTATATGACCATGAGACCAGAAGAACTAGATGGTGCCTGACTAGCACTGTCAACCACTCAGAAAGGGATCAGTGCAGGAGATCCTGGATAGAGTAAGGAGAACAATGTGGAACAAAACTCAAAATCATATTAAAAAGAAGACCAGGTTTACTGGTCTGATAGAGCCTGCTGAGACCCCCGAGACTATGGCCCCTAGTTACCATTCAGGTCTGGAACTGAACTCACTCCTGTGGCTTCCAGCCATACAATAGACAGGCTTATAGGGTGAAATTTACATCAGGTAGATACACTGCTTAGAATGATTAATCGTGGGAGAACAGAAGGGCACTGTTTGCACAGGGAGATGGTTAAGGGGTGAAGGGGAGCAGGAATGCATAGGAAAGAAGGACACAGGGAAGAGGTAGGGAGGAAGTGGGAAGAGAGCTGTTACATTGTGGGGAATTGCTGTCAATGTTATGAAAAAATGTGTACGAACTGCTGTATGGAAAATGAATTTGCTCTGTAAACTTTCACCCAAATCACAATAAAAATTTAAATAAACTTGACCCAGTTGCCTCCTCTTATGAATAAATGAGCTTGAAAGTTTACACCCATGTAAGCAATCAGCTTTCAGTCTTAGAAGTTACAGCCACACTGTTGTTATTTAAGTTCTAGCTATGAAGGTGCTCCTCACTTGTCAGCCAATTATTTAACTGGTGGCCTCAATGGCTGTAGTTTCTGTCCAGTCGCTTCTGACCCATGGCAACCCGTGTGTGCAGAGCAGAACTGCCCCACAGGGTTTGCAAGGCTGTGACCTTTCAGAAGTAGATCGCCAGGCCTGTCTCCCGAGGTGCCTCTGGGTGGGTTTGAACCACCAACCTTGCCGTTAGTAGTCCAATGCTTAATCATTTGAACCACCCAGGGACTCCTATGAGACCAAAAAAGAAGGAGGCAGTGTAGTGCAGTAGTTAGTGATCAGCTCTGGCATTAGGGAGGCTTGCCCCCAAATACCACCACTATGACTTTCTTAGCAGCTGTGTGAACTTGGACATATTATTTAAACTTTCTAAGCTTTGTTTTTCTTGTGTATATAATGGGGATGATGGGAGCTCTGATGGCATAGTGCCTAAGGCACTTGACTGGTAACCAGAAGGCTGGCGGTTCAAACCCACCAGCCACTCCTCGGAAGGAAGATGGGGCAATCTACTTCCATAGTGATACTGCCTCGGAAACCCATGGAGTGGCCGCTATGTGTCGAAAAATGACTCGATGCCAATGAGTTTGGTTTTTTGGTTTATAATAGGGATGATAAGAATCTCTACGTCATAGACTTGGTCTGAATATTCATCAAGGTGCTGTATATGACGCCTTGTCACAGCACCTGGCACAGAATAAAGACGATGATTGATTATTAATAAGAAATACAATTTTCTGAGCAGCTAGGATATATATATCACATGTCCTGTGTGACACAGAGACTTTTGCTCAGAGGTAACCCATCAGGCCCACACTCAGAGTCTCTATACTTTTATATCATCAGAACTGATTTATTGTGTTTTAGGTGTAATTAGACAATTTTGACAGGAAGAGTCATCTGGTTTTCCACGATCTAACACAGCAGGAGTCCCTAGATTCTGAAAGACAGACAGGCTAGAGCCAGGACAATGGCCAACAACAAGAGGGACAAGTGATGGAATGGAAAGAATTAAAAAAAGCAGGTACACGGGCTCCATTTTTGGAGTCCAAGCGTATTTGGAAAGAAGACAAGCAATGTTACACTCCTCAGGAGTCCCTGATCCCTGTTTTATAGAATGGGACAGTCATTTGCGGTAACAGTAAAGTGTGCCTCAGGCTTCCAGGAAAAGTTAAAGTATGCTCACTACTTAAAAAGGCAGAGAAGAAAGTTATTCTGTAACACACAAGCATTTGCTACAAAAATGGTTAAAATCGACATTTTAGTGTTTCAAGACAGGGAGCTTCCATTGTGTATACAATCCCTTTAGGTAAAACAAGTTAGCTTCTAACAAAGCTAGACACAGGAAGTGTTGCCACATTTATAAAGCTTAAACACCACTGTAAATCAGTACTTTCTATATTAACCAAACCCCACTGATATCAAGTCAATTCTGACTCATGGCGACCCAATGTGTTACAGAGTAGGACTGCTTCATACGGCTTTCATGGCTGCAATTTTTATAGAAATAGATGGCCAGGCCTCCTGCAGAACCACTGGGTAGGTTCAAACCACTAACTTTTAGGTTAGCAGGCAAGAGCAAATCATTTGCACCACCCAAAACAAACAAAAAAAAACTTGTTGCCCTCGTGTTGATTCTGACCATAATGATCCCATAGGACAGAGTAGAACCGCCCCATAGGATTTCCAAGGCTATAAATCTTTGCAGAAGCAGACTGTCACATCTCTCACCCACAGAGCACTGGTGAGTTCAAACTGCTGACCTTTCAGTTAGCAGCCAAGCACTTTAACCACTGCACCACTGGTGCTCCTTTTGTACCATTCCCCCCCAAAAAACCAAACTCACTGCCATCAGGTTGATTCTGATTCATGGCGACCTCCATTGGGTTTCTAAGACTGTAAATCTTTTTGGAAGCAGACTACCTCATCTTTCCTCTGCGGAGCAGTTGCTGGGTTCGAACCACCGACCTTTTGGTTAGCAGCCAAATGCTTTAACCACTACACCACCAGAGCTCCTTTTGTGCCACCCAGGGACCTATAAATTAACCATCCCTCCCCAAAAGACTGTGGCTACATAACTTTGGTACAAGGAATCAGGGTCAAACTTGCCTGTGATACCTTAATGAATGGAATGTGTCGTGTTGTGATCGAACCCCTTTCAGGGAGTGTTTTCTGAGAAACAGACAAAGACCAACCACAAACAAGACTTCCCACTGATCTTCTCAATGATGGAGTATGTGGAAAATTTCACCCTCCTCGTGCTTGAGATCTCTTGACAGTAAAATGAAGGTAACTGGACTTCAAGGTCTTCAAGGTCCTCTCCAGCCAGGACACTCTAGGATGGAGTTACCTGACCCAACTGACAGGTACCCAGTGAGTGTCCTTGTTCATCTTCTCCAAGATCACTTTCAGCTGGCTGTATGCACCCTGGACATCCTCCTTCACCAGCACGGCGTCCACCAGGTGCCCGTAATGCTGGTCGATGAAGGCAGCCGAGGCGGCCATCTGCTGCTGCTCCTCATCCTGCAAGGAAAGGGGCAGATAGGGAGCAGCTGGGTGGTTCTAGCCCAAAGCCAGAAACCTGCATTGCAAAGGCTATGGGAACATGGTCTTGGGCAATGTCCCAACCTTGAATCTTTAAGTGATGATTATGCCCCATTTATAGGAAACTGTGTATACACAGAGTGTAGTGACAACATCCAATCAAAATTCCAAGAACACTAATGGACAGGAGATATAATTGTATGTCCACACACAAATGCATACACAAACGTTCACAGCAGCACCATTTTTAACAGCCAAAAGGTGAAAACAACGCAGAGGTCCATCACCTGATGAACAGATAAACAAAATGTAGTATTGGGAACAAAAGGAGATTGTGTGAAAAGAAGTACTGATACATGCTACGACATGGGTGACCCATGAACACGTTATGCTGAGCAAAAGAAGTCACATACAAAAGGCCACGTATTATATGATTCCATTTGTATGAAAAGTCTGTAAATGGCAAATCCACAGAGACAGAGTAGATTAGCAGTTGCTGAGGGCTGGGGAGGAGTTGGGAGGAAATGGGAGTGACTGCTAATGGATGCAGGGTTTCTTTTGGGGGTGATAAACATGTTCTAAAGGTGACTGTGGTGATGGCTACACAACTCTGTGAGTATGCTAAATACTAACAAATTGTATGCTGTGAAATTGTGAATTGTATCTCAATAAAGTGGTTAACCTTCCCTTCCCCCTAAAAAAAACCCACATAAAACCAAAAAAACAAACCTACTGCCATTGAGTCGATTCTGACTCATAGTGACCCCCATTGGGTTTCCAAGGCTGCAAATCTTTACTGAATTAGATTGCCTCATCTTCCTCCCACAGGGCAGCTGGTGGGTTTGAACCGCTGACCTGGCTAGCAGCCACTACACCATTACCCACAGAGAAAACAAATTAATTATGAGCCCATTATCCATGAAGCACAGTCTTTAGCATTTTAGTGTATTGTCTTTGTGTGTGGCAAAATAAGAATCATACTTGCTCATATTTATTTTCATTTAATATTTTATTGTACTTGGTTATGTCACCAAATAGCCCTTTAATAACATGACTTACTTGGCTATATACCATCCCATTCTATCTTGTGACTATCATGAAATGTCATAATGAATTGAACTGACCCCCACTATTGGACACTTAGGTTGTTTCCTGTTTCCCATTGTTTGTTACTGATATTAACAACTATGATGGCCATGCTCTGTGTTTCCAGCTGGTTCCAGAACCAGTTAGTTTGTTTCCAAGTGGTGTTCTTAGAGTTTCTAATGTTCCTTCTAGCCCTGTCACTCTAAGTAATTTGATCAGTGTGGACAATTACAACAGAGAATTCATATGAATGAAGATAAATCAAAATTGTTACTTGAGGGGAGCTTCTTGACCAAGGGGAAGGATCAGAGAGGGTGTCCTTCAGACAGAACAACTAGACTGGCCAGTAAGCGAAGTCTGTTGTGGAACTGCATTGCTTCTAACCCTTCCCCCTGACAACTCTGGCTCATTCCCCTAACTGACCCTCTGGAGAACCAGATAAGATGAGGCACTAATTCTGTATCTTCCTAGGAAGCTCTGCCAAACTGTTAGGTTTGGGGTGGGGTCCTGACACAGCTTCAGCTGAACAAGGGATCCATGCCAATGAAACAGAAGTTCACTTAGGAGCACACTGGATTATCCCATCCAGTAGTTTTCTAAATAGATAAATTTGCTGGTGGTTCAAACTGGTTTGTTGTTGTTAGGTCCCGATGAGTCAATTTCACTCAAAGTAACCCCATGTGATAGAGTAGAACTGTCCCATAGGGTTTTCTAGGCTGTAATCTTTATGAGAGTAGACTGCTGGGTCTTTCTCCCATAGAACCATGGATGGGTTCAAACCACCAACCTTTGGGTTAGTGCAGAGCATTTAACCATGTCACCACCAGGGCTCCTTTCAAACAGGTTTAACCTGTAGTCATCAAGTTGAATCTCACTCATAGTGACCCTATAGGAGACAGCAGAACTGCCTCATTGTGTTTCTAAGGCTGTAATCGTTATGAAAGCAGACTGCCACATCTTTCTCCCGTGGAGTGGCTGGTGGTTTCAAACCACTGACCTTTTGGTTAGAAGACAAGAACTTAACCACTGCACAACCAAGGCTCCTTCTCAAACTGGTTTAAACTCAAGTTCACTGCTATCAAGTTGATTTCAACTCATAGCGACCCCCACTGGGTTTCCAAGGTGGTAAATCTTTATAGAAATAGATTACCCCATCTTCCTTCTGTGGAGCAGAACTGCCAACCTGGTTAGCAGTCAAATGCCTCAGGCACCACACCACCAAAGCTCCTCCTTAGACCCAGTGATTACTAACTGTGAAAGCTCAGAAAGTGGTTTCCAAAACCAAACCAAACTCACTGCCGACGAGTTGAATCTGACTCATAGCGACCCCTCCTTGGGTTTCCAAGGCAGTATCACTACAGAAGCACATTGCCCAACCTTCCTTCTGAGGAGTGGCTAGTGGGTTTGAACCGCTAGCCTTCTGGTTAACAGTCAAATGCCTTACGCACTATGCTACCAGAGCTCCTCAGAAAGTGGTTTACTAGGTGTTTTTTGGAAAGCAAAAATTATAATGACCTTGTTAGTTGGTATTTTGATTAAAAAATACTTGGGTTTGGTTAAGGAGTTCATCAGGTCCTAGAGATGTCAGCCCTTATTGTTGGGCAAGGAGCCTATGTGAGGGTAAACCCAGACAAAGCCACTCTGCCTGGAGTGAGAGCACCCCTGGCTGTCCCACACTGAGCCACCTGGTCAGTGACCATCTCTGTCTGTCACCGATAGAATGGAAAGACCGTCTTCAGCAGAAGGTCTACGCCACATCTCTCTTCAGCCGCGAGCACCCTCAGAAAGCTGGGTGCACTTCCTGCAACAGCCTCTCTTAGGTCCTCAGGAAAAAAAATGACCGACTCTCAACTTACAAGTGGGGCTGCTGTGGCTTCAAATGCCGGGGACATAGGTGGCGTCTTCCTCTTCTCCTGAATTGCAGGCTTCACAAATATAATGTAGGGTTTGAATTCTGAGGTCCTCAGCTGTTTCAGTGCCTGAGAAAGAAAGTTCAAGAATATTAAATACTTTTAAAATGTTTCATTGTGAAACATACTTTTTAAAGGCTCAATAACTGAGTGCTTCAACCATGTAACCTCCAAGGTCCTAATCATGCTGATCACACAACAAAGGACTTCAACTGAGCAGAACAACTGCACTTTGACCCTGGACTTGGTTGAGCCCTGAAGGCCCATTCACTGAGAGCAGAAGGTTCCTCAAGCTCTAATTAACCTTCTTAAGCCCTCCTCCACCTACCCTCGCCTGATGCAAGAGACTCAGTGTGCATATTTTTAGTCAGACATCACTGATTTACTGCACTAAATGCAAAAGCTAAGCTGTTGCATTGCTGTTGTTGTATGCCGTCAAGGCGGTTGCAATGCTGTCTGATATTCAAAGAAAAAAAGGCACACTAAGCCAAGGAAGAGACTATCTAAGAGATCACTTGAAACAAAACTTAAAAGCTTGAGATTTTCTGTAAGCAAATCATACTGTTAATATTGCATTCTCTCAGTTTTAGGGCCTCCATTTGGAAATACTGGTATTAAATTGCTCTATATACTATCTGTACATAAAACCCATAAAATAACTTTTCTTAACTATAACTGAAATACACACTTATAACTTCAACTCCCAGGAAGTCCAAATTAATGAGGCTTTGTCTTCACGGCACAATGTGTTTTTTGGGATATTTTCGAAAATGTCCCTAAAATGAAGCCAACAGTTTCTATCAGAAAATCAGAGACCTGTTTCTATAGCAGGAAAAGAAAACCCCCAGGTTGAGTTCAAAGCTTGGGAGTTTGTTCTCAAAAACTAAAAACCAAACTCACTGCTGTGGAGTCAGATCCAACTCATAGCGATCCCTCCTTGGGTTTCCAAGGTGGTATCACTATGGAAGTAGATTGCCCAACCTTTTTTCCAAGGAGCAGCTAGTGGGTTTGAACTGCCAGCCTTCTGGTTAGCAGTCAAATACCTTAGGCACTATGCCACCAGAGTTCCCCCTTGTTCTCAAAGACAGGGTTAAAAAGATGGTCAGGCCCCGGCAAGCCCACGGAATGCTGGGTAGGCAGCACTAGAAATGATGTGGAAGCACACTGTGGAGTGTGGTCTCCTCATAAAGGAGGCGGCCACCTTTCCCCTTTCAAATCACTCTCCTGACAGCCGCCCTCAATGGCTCTCTAGGCCATTGACTGCCCTTGTCATGGCTGGGAACAGGGGCAGCCTGATGCCCAGAGCTTAGCACCAGCTTCTGCCTGGGTGGTCGCTGTTAACTGTCGTCGAGTCTGCCCTCGACCCGTGATCCCCTGCACAATGGAATGAACCGCTGCCTGGCACTGTGCTATCTCCATGATCAGTCACAGATAGGACCACTGTGACCCATTTCACTGGCTGGTTTTCTCAGAAGTGGATCACCAGCCCTTTCTTCCTAGTCCATCTCAGTCTGGAAGGTCTGCTGAAACCCGTTCAGCATCATAGCCACACGCAAGCCCCCACAGACAGACGGGTGGTGGCTGTGCACGAGGTCCACTGGCTGGGAACTGAACTCAGGTCTCCAGCATGGAAGGCGAGAATTCTGCTACTGGACCAACTAATGCCCTCCCCCCGCCTGGGTATTTCCATTGAATTCTCCGTCACAATTGGCCAATCGATGCCACCTCTACCGTGTGATTTGTGGTTTACTCCATGCAGACACATTCAGGAAAGTTTAACAGCCACTGCTCTGGACTAAAAATTCCGTAGATTAAGGTCAAGTAAAACGTACAGTTTAGAAATTCTGTTAACTAGAAATGCCCCGCTAGCCCAGGAACTCACTTCTGGCTCCACATCCACCAAACAGACTTTGTTTTTGGCCATCACAGCCTGAATGGCCTCCAGGCTGGTCCCATAGAGATTCTCCTTGTATTCGCCATGCTCCAGGAACCTGAAACACCAAAAGGAGGCCTTTAGCTCCTGAGGTTTCCTACCTTAGCAACAAAGGTGGAGCAGACCTCCCAACAGGACTTCTCTACCAATGCCCCCATCCTTTCCAGAAGCCTTCCCCGGAGGTCGAGTGGAACACCGGACAAGGAGACACAGACAGCCAACGTACTTGTTGTGTTGTAAGTCGGCCTCAAACGCTTGCTTAGAGACAAAGTGGTATTCCACCCCCTCCTTCTCGTGGCTCTTTCGGGGCCTGGTGGTATCTTTTAAAGAAAAAAGAAGGAAAACCAGGTGAAGACCTTCACAGGGAGCGGGAACAGCAGCGAGCCCGTGCCTTTAGCCCTTGTGGGAATTCATCGCTGATTTGTGTCAAATGTAAACCAACCACTTCCACTCACTGAGTGTTCCCTGTGTGCCGGGCACTGTGCTCTTTCCAGACCTATTACTGACTCACAACAACTCTTTATTGTAGGCAAAACAACACACCTACTACCAGCAAGTCAATTCCGACTCACAGTGACCCTGCAGGACAGAGTAAAACTGCCCCCACAGGGTTTCCAAAGCTGTAAATCTTTACAGAAGCAGACTGCCTCCTCTGTCTCCCACAGGGCAGCTGGTGGGTTCGAACTGCTGATGTTTTGATTAGCAGCTGAACTCTTTCATACGACACCACCCAAGTCAAACAAGGCCTCCTATTTTGCAGTGGAAGAAAGTGAGGCACAGAGAGGTTAAGCACCTCACCGTGGCCAATGTCCCACAGCCAGCAGGTCTCAGGGTTGGAGTCTGTCTCTGGATCTCTCCATCTCATGCAAGCATATGCCCTTCACCATTGTGCTAAATGCTCCCATAAACGCCGTGACTTTTAAAAAATCAACTAAGGGATCCCTAGTTCCAAGCTTTTATATCTTAATTGCTTTTCTTTTTGAGAGCAAAGGGGGCGCAAACACAGATGACCCTGCCAAGTGTATGTTTTTAATTCCTTATTCAATTGCTTCTCATTCTGATAGAAAATGAAACATAAAGACAGAGGACCCTTTACAGACTAGATGTGTTTCAGCAAAGCTAGCTCTCAAGCAATTTTAAAACACATTGCTTTTTCCCACTAATTCCCATAATAAAATTGAGATGTTCTCTCTTGAGGAAAATCAGGTCCCCCACTGAACATAAACACATCTGAAAAAATATTCTAGAACATTCCAAAAGGGAAGATGGGGTTTGGAAGGTATAGTTTTCTGGCCCAGGAGCCACCGAGGGGGATGTTTTTGTGTTCTACGTGTGTGTGTGTGGGGGGGGTATCTTAGTCCAACCTCTGGCAGAGCCACTGGGCTCATTTTTTCTGATCATACCATTCCCTTGCTTAGAACTTATATCCACCCACTGATTACATTCTAGACACCTTAGCTGACTACATAAGACCCTTTGTGATCTGCCCAATCTCCAGCTCAGCTTCATCTCCTACCACATCCTCCACACAAACTTCTCCCCTGTCCCCAACACTGCTACTATTGGTCACACCTTCATCTCTTTATACATGCTGTTCCTGGTATATACACAGCATTTCTTTTTTCCTCTGCCTGGAAAACTCCTATTCACCCTGCAAAATCCAGCACAAAAGTCACCACCTCCGGGAAGCCTTCTCTCATTCCCTCAGTGCCTAAAAACAAGACAGGGAGGAAGTCACCCATCTGTGGGGTGACTAGAAGCAAGTAGGCTTGGCCATCCAGGTGATCCCCTGGAAGATGGACCTAAGGGTTTCTAAAGGACCTGTGAGCAACTTCTGCATATCCTGTTTCTATCATTCCTATCAGCCTGGAAGGCCAAGGCCCCCTAAAGCCTACCAGGTCCATCACGGATGCTACCAGAATGGCCTCCCCCCACCACTTCAGGCTGGGCTCTGAAAGATGATCTGATAACCCACAGACGAGGCTACAGGCCCAGAGGAGGGCAGCGTAGTAAAACAAAGGCTTTGCAGCTGCCCTGCCTAAGAACTTTCTGCGAAGTTTCCTTTACTGCCACCCCTCTCAATGACCATCAGGCACCCACACTACACCCCTCTGAGTCCAGAGGAAGCAAGAGTGAGAGAAAAAAGACATTCAAGGGCAGGAAGTGGCAGGCAGCAGGTGAGACACCACTGTGCAGCCTACTTAAGAATGTGACTTTGGGGCCAGGCTGCCTGGGTTCCGATCCTGGCTCCACCACTTACGTACTGTGTGACACTAGGAAGGTTACTTAACCTCTGAGACTCAATGTCTTCCTCTCCAGTACGTGATGATAAAAATCTTGAGTTACTTGGAAGGCTGACTGAGTTACTGCACACAAAAGCTCTTGGTATGGTGCTTGGCATTTTTCATACTCTTCCTCATCACCAGGACCTCCCGCCCACTGGATCGCAGGATCCCCGGCTGCCTCTAGCAAGAGGAAGACTCGGGAATCACCAAGGGTGTTATCACCAGGACTGCACTCAGCTACTCTGAGGAACCTGGAATCCAGCTAAAAGGGAGTACCCAAGCAATGTCGCTCCTCTGCTCCCCAACTTCCCTGAACTGCTCTCTTACCCGAGCAAAGATGCTGAGGCCACAGGTCAGGTCATTGTGAAGAGGAGGCTAGAATGATCCTCCCCGCTTCTCAGTGTTGAGTCTGCCACTTTGCCTGCAATGTGCTCTCGACTCACCTCTCACCCCAGGCAGAAAATGAACAACTAGTTCTCCAGCTTCTACCTCAGAGGGGCCTACAGTATGCCTGTGGCAGGCAGTGTCCGCCATTTTGTATATAAAGCAAGGCTCAGGATGGATGTTGGGAGTCACGTCCCCATGAAATGTTCACACACACACGTACATGTACACACACACCCATGTGGGCCCTCTTACGTGGAACAGCAACGCCAAAGTGCTGTGGGTTCTCTGTCACCACTTTCTGCTTCAGCTCATACAGCCGGGCTCCCAGAGACCCTGGGAAGCAAAGGAGAGGGTGACCAGAGTCCCCACTGAATTCCCTTCCCACTTCTCCAGGAAGAAACCATCCCATACCTTGGAGACCCAAGACATCACCTACCAATGAGAACCACCAGGCGTGGCCGCTCGCCGGGCTGGTGCTGGTACCTGGCCACCTCCTCGTAGGTCAGGAGTTCCGGAGACTCAGCTATAGCAGGTGTCCTTCCTTCCTGTGAGCTGCCCGGCCTCTCCCTGCGGCCCAGCCGGAAGCTCCTCCGAAGACCAGCTTATGGGATGGGCAGAGGGACACCAGACCATTTGTCCCAAGACTTTCTCTACCTGGCTAGATCTGGCAGGTGGACTGAGTCCCACTGGCTTCTCCTAACCACTTCCCACTACAGGCAGGAGGCTGTTTGGGAAGCATAGTTCTATGATGAAAGGATGACTGCCCAGCATCAAACACTGAGATTCAAGGTCACTGTTTTCCTTGGCAGATGACTGACATTGGGTGAGTCTCTTCACCTCTCTGAGCCTCAATTCTCTCATCTGTGAAATGGGGCAACATATCTACAAATGCAATGTGGTCCTACGTTGAATCCTGCACCAGGGACCATGCTATATAAGGCCACTGATGAGACCGTGATGAATTTTAACATACACAGTATGCTAGATAACAGAACTGCATGAAAGTTTTAGTCCCAGAAGTTGCTAATTATCCTGAGGTTATATCAGAGAATGTCCTTAGGACATCCATGCAGCGACCTCACTGGTGGCACGATGCCTAAGGCACTGACTGCTAACCAGAATGTTGGCGGTGGTGCAACCCACTGCGGTCATTCACTGTGTCACACCGCTCACCCCATGGACCTCCTGTACCAGACCATACAGAATCCTCAGTAATATTATCAATTTTAATCATAAAATAACATGTGATAAATAGAGTTCTGAACTGCTTACATGTAATATTTACTTGATTATAGGAATACTAGCAACAAAATAGTTTTGTGAACTCTTTCTACATTGAATTACAACATTATCAGTTACAACATTATTCATAAATCAGGGGAAGCCTTTTTTTATTGTTCTCCTTCTTTCATTTAGTTACTATTTCATTCTCAAAGTTATAGATAAACGAAAAAAAAACACCCAAACTCACTACCATCGAGTTGCATCCGACTCATAGCGACCCCTCCTTGGGTTTCCTTGGCAGTATCATTACAGAAGTAGATTGTTCAACCTTCCTTCCAAGGAGTGGCTGGTGGGTTTGGACCACCAGCCTTCTGGTTAGCAGTCAAATGCTTTAGGCACTACACTACCAGAACTCCTAAAGTTATGGATATAGGTTCACAAACACTAATTACCACAATATTTTAGCCAAAACATCAGAAAATTTGACAAATCCTTGGCAATAAAAACACCGACAGCAACAAAAACAACAGTGTGTGCTTGTACGATGTGCAGAAAAACCATGTGATCTTTGTAACTGGGTAACAATGACCAGAGCACGTTAGCAGAAAATCAGCCCAGAGTTTTAGCCTTACAGGTATATTGACACAGGTAAGCTGGGCTGACAAAATGTTTTTGTTGTTATAAGTAACTATAGGAATATTTTTATAAAAAATAAATAAATTTCTGATGAAACACTGCACAAAAATTGAGTAGAAAGTCATTTTGGGTCACTCCTTTGACAGTGTCACCTGTGTGGTCTGCACCCCCCACACCCTCCGGGTGACACCACTATGTGCTTGCTGAACTATTTAGGGTTAAGGACACAATATCCACAACTAATGCTCACATGGCTCAGGGGAAAAAAAAATCAGCATATGGACACAGATGGAATGATAAAGTAAATAAAGCTTTTTTTAAATAAATAAATAAATAAACCAAATCGGTTCCTGTTAAGTCAATTCTGACTCACAGTGATCCTACAGAACAGAGTAGAACTGCCCTATGGGGTTTTCAAGGCTGTAATCTTCACAGAAGCAGACTGCCACATCTTCCTCCCACGGAGAGGCTGGTGGGTTTGAACGACTGACTTTTGGTTAGCAATCGAGTGCTTCAAAAGTGAATCTGGATATAGAATATGGGTGTTCTTTGCACAATTCTTATAACTTTTCAGTAAATTTGCTTTCTCTCTAAGGCCTTTGAAAAGACTGAGCAAAATAATGGAAGTGGAGGCATTCTGGAGACTAGGAAAGACTCCATCGTGGTGTGGCAGTGGCGTTAACACTGAAGAAGCTACATTTAAGGTTATGATCATGATTAAGTTGCTTTTAATTTAGCAGTTGATGTCCTTTGCCTCCTAGTCACCTATATCCCCTTCGGGGCCTCATCCTGCCAGGGCTCCCTCTGCTCCCAGGGACTGAGTGAAAGCTGAGGTGGGGGCCCCAAGGCCTGGCTGACAGAGCTGAAGGGGAGATGTGGGTCCAAGAGGCTCAACAGCTCTTACAGAGCTCCTGGGGCTCAGTTCACTCTGCCTATCTCCCCCAGACCCAGGAGCCTGAGGTGGGGCTGTGAGTGGGCTGCAGGTGTCAGGCAAGAGTCCCCTGTCACTTACCCACGTAGTGCCCTCTGAGGTATCCCTCACAGTCACAGGTCTCTGGGAATTAAACAGAGAGAGAGAGAGAGAGAGGCCAGTGAGCCAAGCTAGACACACCCTGGCCCAGTGGGGCTGTGCCAAGGCTGCCCAGAATTCAGCCCCAGGGTTGGCCAGGCAGAGCCCTCAGGGATGGTGTCTCAGGAGGGCTCAAGAGGTATCCTGTGCCCTTGCCACCCCTAGGAGACCAAGTTCTTCTGTTTTGCTCAGTTCTCCACACTCAGGCCCCAAATAGCCCTTCCAGGCCCTGTTGAGGGTTCGAGCCCCTTCATAGCCCCTTTGACTTGGGATCCATGTGAATAAGGATGGACACGTCACTCCACCCTGCCTCCCTCCCACCCCCAGCCGCCTGCCTTGCCCAGCCGCACAGCCAGCATCACCAGCATCCAGGCAGTCTGAGCCCTGCATGCCAGGCGGGTAAGGAGGGGCTCCCAGTCCTTGAATCTCATCCCCACCATCTCTGCATGCCTCCAGGAACAGACAGGTCCAGCTGGTAGAGCAGGAAGAGGTGTGCAAAGAGCCAGAGGGGCCAGTCACCCCTGAGAGGAGAGGCAAACGAGCCCTCCAGCCCTGGGCATTCCACAGAAAAGGGGCCTCGCCCATGTTCACAGGGGACAGAGACCAGGCCTACCTTTGTCACAAGGCTGATCATCTGCGGTTTGCACAAAAGACAGATGGAACAGCGTTAGTGGAGGGGAACTGGGGGGCCCTGCAGCTGAAAAGCAGCCATGGCCCCATGTGCCTAAGGAGCCCTCCATCTGTCCCGTCCGCCTTTCCTCCCACAAACCTGTGATCCGAGCTGTGGTGCATTATTAAACTTGGAACCCTGTTCTAATTAATCTTCCTCTGTGGGTCTCATTAGCAGGCCAAAGAAAGCCATTCCTCCTTGGCATCTTATGCAGCCTCCTTGAGGCCAATTTATCTAGCAGACCCTCCAACTTGAGATAAATCTGGACAGCGGTCATTGGCCATGGCCACGGAACCAGAGAGCAACTCACTCCGGAGTGCCTGCAGTGGGACTAGGACCGGCTTACTCTCTGCTGGGGTTTGAGACTTGCCTGGAAATGCAGACGCCAGAAGATGAGGTGGGCAGCGCTGGGGGCCTGCTTGGGTCCCTCACTTGGTCACTAGCCCTCCTGGTCCAACAAACAAAACTCGAGAGAAAACATCAGGGCCTCCCTCAGCCATTATTCCAGGGCTGACACATTTCCATGGAGGAAATTCTTCCCAGTCACTGGCTGGGCCCACAGGCCAGCCTCAGACAGCCCCCAGCATTCCAGGCTCTACCAAAAGAAGTGAGCCGTAGGTGCCCGGTGTTATTAGTCTCTGTGGTTGTGAAGCAACAGGAGTGTGGTCCAAAAAAAAGGCCAGACTCTGGAAAAGCATCCTTTCTCTACAGGGGCTCTCATCACAGGCCCAACTCCAGTCACTTAACTTTATAAGCCTCTGTTTTTCCACTTGGGAAAACAGGATGCCTTCCTGCCTCTACCTCCTTCACAGGGCTACTATGACAACTAAAAGACAAGAAGGTACGTGGATATGCTTCTAAGAGGAAAAGTGTTAACAGAGTATAAGGTAAAATACAGGCTGCCCAGTTAAATTAAGGAGCTATGGTGGCACAGTGCCTAAGGCATTTGACTGCTAATCAGAGGATTGGCAGTTCAAATCCACCAGCAGCTTCACGGAAGATGAGGCAATCTGCTTCTGTAAAGATTTACCGCCTCAGAAACCCAGTGGGGGTCCGGCTCAATGGCAGTGAGCTTGCTTGGAGCTTGAGCTATTAAATTTGGATTCAGACAAACAATAAGCAATTTTTTCAGTATAAGTATCTCCTACATAAGGAGCTTTGGTGACACAAGTGCCTAAGGCATTTGACTGCTAATCAGAAGGTTGGCCGTTCAAACTCCCAGCTGCTCTGTGGAAGGAAGATGGGGCAACCTATTTCCATAAAGATTTATCATTTTGGGAACCTAATGGGAGTCACTATGAGTCAATTGACTCCATGGCAGTGGATTTGATTTTTTTTTTTTTTCTCTCTCACATTTTACATGGGACACATTTATACTGAACAACAATTTGTTGCTTATCTGAAATTCAAATTTAACTGGGCGACTTGTACTTTTATTTGCTACATCTGCTAACCCTAACACACAGGAATGGGACTCCTAGCCATCTCCATTCCTTCCAGCATCAGTTGTTCTTAGACTTTTCAGGGTCAGAAAGCCCCCTAAGAATCTAATAAAAGCTGGAACACAAAGCATACAAAGTTGTGCAAACAATTTTGAGAGAGATGTTAACTACTGCCCAGTGGCATCTTTGGGCCCCAAATATAGAAGCTCCTCTCCAGGGAATAGCTACCCAACCCCACTCCACTGTTCTTGAGGCCTGCAAGCTCAGACAGGACCTTTAGGTCCCTCCAGCTCAGTGCCTGCTTCTTCCAGGCACGAAGCCTCCATGTCCTCATCCCAGCCCCTCCCCGAGGTACCATCCTTGCCAATTTACTCACAGGGGGGCTTCCTGAGGCTCTGGGGGCTTGGCAGGGTGCCTGTGGCTCTCCGGTAGCTCAGTCGCCTGTGAGGACAAGAAGATGGGTAGGGCCTATGAGCTGAGACATGAGGACTAGTCAGAGGGAGCTTCCTAGATGTGGGGAAGCCAAGGCCTGATCTGCAGGTGAGCACAAGCCCGGTGTTCCCAGGACCACCTAACTGACACCGAGTCCGGTAAAGGGGACATGTCTATGTGGACAGTTTATTTGTTCACAAGAAGGAAGAAACCAAGTCCCTTGCTCTGGGAGAAGCTTGTCCAGCCCAAGATGGCCGCCCACAAAGATCCAGCTTAGTAACCACCTCAGTGACTGGTCATGACTTTTCTATGGTTGATTGCCCAGAAGAGAGGTCCCATTTTCACTCTCATCCCTACCCCCAAACCAGGCTGGAACCATGGAACCTGGAACATGGGTTCCCAGGAGACTGTAAGAGATTAGCTCCTGAGGAAGCTGGAAAACAGCAGAATGACTCCCAGGAGAGGCTGGGGGTGGAAGTGACCCTAATTTAATGTCCCCCTCAACACACACAATATGGAGTTCAGCCCTGCCATACTATCCAATATGGCTGCCAGTGGAGAGGCAGCCAACCAAGGTCTCACTTGGGAGTGTGGTAAATGCCCTGAGGCTCTTGGGGGTGTGTATATATTTCCACATTTAAATGCAGCTGCACAGTCTTCCTCTACACCCCTTGTAAGATTCTGCCAAGACCTATGAAACCAAAATGTAGGAGGGTCTGGGGCTGCCCTGAGGAAACAGAGAGGCATTTCTCAAACTTCAGTGCCTCACAGCCACCTGGAACACTTGTTAGAACAAAGGGCCAGCTCCTGGAGTTTCTGATTCAACAGGCCTGGCATGGGGCATAGGATTTGCATTTCTAACACGTTCCCAGATGATGCTGAGCCTGCTGGCCCATCCAGGGCCCAAACAGTGAGACCAGCAAAATGACTGAACCTTAAGGTTCTGTTGTTACCAGGTTCCACACACCAAAAAATGTGAAGAGGGCTACCCAGCTCAGGAGAAGCGATGCAGTTATAATCACTATACCTTCTGATCCAGATTTACATATACTTTGGAAATCTATCCGAGAGAAATCATTTGAAATATGGGAATATTCTATGTGCAAGATTACTGCAGACTTCCAGTGGTGAAAAATCAGAGACAATCTAAAGGGCAGGGAGCCAATACATACTTAACGTACAACCTTCCTCAGAGAAGCCTTCCCAAACCCAAACCAAAACAAACCCACCAACATCAAGTGTATTCCAACTCACAGTAATCCTACGGGACAGAGTAGACCTGCCCCATAGGGTTTCCAAGGCTGTAATCTTTGTGAAAGCAGACTGACCCACCTTTCTCCTGTGCAGCAGCTGGCAGGTCCCAACCATGGACTTTTCAGCTAGCGACCAAGTGCTTAACCAGTGCACCACTAGGGCTCCCCCTGCGCACTCAGATGAGGACAAACCCTCCTAGTATGAACTTGCAGAGAATCATGTCCTCCTCCCTAGCACTCATCACATTTATGTAAAGTGACCATTTGAATATCTGGATTTTCCAATAAACTATAAGCTCCTCCAAGGCAGAAACCATGGGTTCCCAGGAGCCTGTAAGAGATTAGCTCAAATAACAGTAAATACTTGCTGCCTATAAATGGATAATACGTCCCCCAATAAAATATTATATAGTCTTCTAGTAGTGATGATAGGTCACACGGTAATATATAATAATGTGGGAAAAACACAAACACAAACCCACTGCTATCAAGTCAATTCTGACTCACAGTGACCCTATAGGACAGAGTAGAATGGCTCCATAGGGTTTCCAAAGCTGTAAATCTTTATGGAAGAAGACTGCCTCATCTTCCTCCCATGGGGCAGCTAGTAGGTTCAAACCACCAACCTTTTGGTTAGCAGCTTTATGCTTTAACCACTGTATCATCAGAGCTCCTAACATGGGAAAAGCTAATGCTAAAATGTTAAGTTTTAAAAAAAGTAATACCATAAATTCTTTAATACTCATGTAGAAAGTATAAGGAAATAAATTATGCTGTCTAATCACAAGACTTTGGGTAATTTTCCTAGTCCTCCTTTTCTATATTTGTATATGTTATTTCTCAATGTTTTTTTCATAAGTATTAAGAAATATACACTAATAATATAAATTTCCATATGTTTATCTAAATCCCAAACAGCCATCATCACTAGTTAGGGGACAAGAAGAACAAACACAAGTATAATTGGTACTTACCTCAAGGAACAACACACAGTTGTGTGCCCCTCTGGCTGCGGTGACAGAGACTTGGAGGATTGTTATAGATTTGTGCCTCTGGCAACTCCAGAACCACCCCCTATAGCACATCCCAGACCCACCTCTCCTGGAACTGCTTGGAGGGGATGAGGCCGGCTCGAAGGTTGGTGTCCCCCACTCGCTTGGCCTGCCACCACGTGGGGTCATCTTGGCTCACCACCTCCAGGACCTGCCTACGCTGGAAGGGCAGGCCCGCCTCCTGGCAGGGAATGGCTCGGTCCTCCCGAGGGTTGTAGTGGAAGAGGGCTCGCATGAACACCTGTGGAGGAAGGGCTGTGGGGAGGCTGTCCCTCTCCATGTGAGCACAGATGTGTCTATGTCATCTTAGAAGGTCAAATGACAACTACCATTCACAATTAGAAAGAAAGTTAAACAGAAACACAGTGCACAAATTATCTTATTGTTCCTGAACCATTTTGGACATTATAGCCAGGAAGTCCATCAAGAATCAGAAAATTAATAGATGAAAGCCAACTCATAGCTCTCTTTCCAACCTAAATACTTCCTTACTTATCTGATCTGCTGTCCTCATAAGGGCCTTTAAAAAAAAAAAAACAAACTCACTGCCATTGAGTCGATTCCGACTCATAGTGACCCTCTTTGAGTTTCCGAGGCAGTAAATCTTTACAGAAGTAGACTGTCCCCAGTCTTCCTTTTGCAGAGTGGCTAGTGGGTTTGAACCACCAACATTCTAGTTAGCAGTCAAATGCCTTAGGCACTACACCACCAGAGCTCCTTAAGGGCCTTTTAGCAAACACAGAACAAAAATTAGTCCTGGGAACAAATAGTAGAGGCCAGCACAATTTGTAACTCTAATGTTACTTTTGATATGCTAACTGCCCCAATGAAGTCAGCAGCTCCCCCGCTGAACTGTTACTGATTCCTCATACCTCTTCACTGGGCAGGGAGCTCTGTAGGCCTAGGGCCTTCGGCATTTGACTGCTAACCAGAAGGCTGGCGATTCAAACCCACCAGCCAGCTGCTCCTCGGAAGGAAGGCTGGACAATCTACTTCCGTAGTGATACCACCTTGGAAACCTAAGGAGGGGTCGCTGTGAGTCGGACCGAGTTGATGGCAGTAAGTTTGTTTTTTTTGGTTTTTGTTCACTGGGCAATTCACATCCACATTTTTACACAGTGAAGTCTGTGAGAGCAGGAACTCAGCAGAACTGCCTTATTTTCTTGGGTCTCACAAGTTTTCCACCTTTGACGGGATACAGTCTTGCCACTTTTCTATCAACCTCTATTAATGGAAAATATTTGAGTTTTCCTTTTCTGACAGCCTTCTGCCTTACGCAGGTTCCAGCTTCTGCAGGTGCCTCATAGCTCTATTCTGCCTTATCGGTCATAGACAGGGCCAACCTCCAACTCGCCCCTTCACCCAAAGCCTCCATTCTAGAAAAAAAGGTGGGAGGACACAAGATTTTGTGACACTTCCTTGTCCTTTTAGAATTCAGTGGCATGGATTTATTTTATTTCTATTTTCAGAATAGTAGGGTCCAGTTACTTCAGTGGCAGATAGATTAAAAAAAAAGGGGGGGGGGACCTGTGATAAATAAATGTTCCTTTATGTACTAATCAGAAAAGATTAAGTTAGAGAAGAATAAGAACTTCCTGAGCACAGACTGTGGGGATTAACGTCCAGTTGCCCACAGTGATTCTTTCCTTGACAACATACCCTTTATTGGGTTGCCTCCCTTCCCTTCCACCTGTACCGGTGTTTCTTGGGGTCACTTCCCAAATAAACTATTTGCACTAGAATCCTTGTCTCAGAGTCAGCCACTAAGAGACTCCAAATCAAGCAGAGATTATAGCCAAAACCCTCAACAGTGGAAGCCATTCAGAAGCAAGTGTTAAACCATCTTCCCAGCTCAACCCTCATCACCCTTCCCTTGGGCCCCACCACATGGCTCTTTCTTCCTGATCCCCAACATGTTCCTCTCCACAGTGCCCCTGCCAGAAATTCCCTCCCCTACTGCTTCACCAGGAAGTCCTACTTACCTTCACCCTTCTCAAGCCTTGGTCCCCAGGCTATACTTGGTCCTCCTATATTGTGACGCCTTCCAAAGCACCTGTAACTCTTTGTACCAAATCTTTCCAAAGTACTTATCACACAGCAATGAAAGGGCTGCTACCCAACCTCCCTCTCTGAACACAGAACCCTTGAAGCTATTACTCATCCTTTCTCTCCAGCATCTCTGCCCAGCACAAAAGGCAGGCTCAAAAACTCAGTGAATAATTAAACAAATGCCAGTTGCTTAATTGGGCCCAAATCCAGCACACTCGGTACCTTCTCCTCCTCTTCATGGCCTTGATCTCCTATTTCTATTCCAATAACCTTGTCTTTTATTAGTAAGCCATGTCAAATCCTGCTTAGAAAGAGGCAGGGTACAAATCAATGAATCACTCTGTGACTCAATTAAAGTTCTCTATGGGGCACACATTTCTAGGACCAGATCTAAGATCTCGCCCAGGATGACCATTTCAGAAAACTGCGCTGGAGCATCCCACCACCTCCAGCCTCCAGCCAGGGCACTGATGACCCCAGCCCCCCATACCTTGCTCTCCTTCAAGCAATCCTCCTCCTGGGTGGCCGGGATAATTTTCAAGGTAATGGATCCCTGGGACTGAGCCTGCAAGGGAAGAATGTAGGAGCTTATCACCTTCCGGGTTTGACCCTCCATTAGTTCAAGTTTAACTTCCCAGGTCAACAAACTCAAGTTCAGAAAGAGAGTTAGATGGGCAGCCTCTCCTGCAGCCTACGCTTCGACAAAGGGGCCCTGAATGAACCTGAAGCAAAGCTCACAACCTATGAAACCAAGACTCCGTATTTTTATGGGACAAAGGGATGGAAGATTTTAAATGAGAGCCCAAGGGCAATTCAGGCGTTAACTTCCAACTCTCCATCCTTCTTGACTGTCACTGTCCCAAAGGACTCTCCCTCTTTCTTTCTTCAAGGGTCATCTGAACAAACTGCTTCCATTGCATTTTCTGCTTTCATGCCCAACTTGGTACTTCCCTCTTTTGCTTCCCAATGGGCTCTCCTCTCTCAGGCCACCACTACCTCTCTGGGGCTCCCCTCACCCCCAGCCAACAGAGATCGCACCCCATGCTGGGAAGCCCGAGAGGAAGAATCCTCCCAGACCCCAAGAGCCCTACATCTGCCACACGGAGAGCCCAGACCACCCACTCTGGTCAGTGTCTAGAACCAGAGGTGGATGTGAGGGCAAAAAGACTGGGATATCTGTCTGTAATCCAGGTCTCCTATTGGGGGTGTCTTAGAGCTGGGGGCCTCCTTTCTCCAGATCTCATCCTGTTACTGCCCTAAAAACCATCAGAATTTATTAAAGAATGTATGTCAGGGCAGGATGCCCAAGGATAAAGAAGACAAAACTATGATTGGGGCTTTTAAATATGTCACTTTCCACTTAAACTTTTGTCCTGGCATTTAATACCTTATGATCCCCTTACAGCTGTGAAGTGCTTTACCCTTTTCCAGATGTTCATATTCTAATGAAAACCACACATAGGTTGAGAGAGCAACCCCGTCCCCACTTTAAGGAAAAGAAGACAAAAGCTAAGAATGATCTGATGATTGTCCAGGGCCACACAGTTAGAAAGGGGTGGAATCAGGATTCAAACCTAGGGCCGGCTGACTTCAAACCCCGTGCTCCCTCAGCCCCTTTCAAAGAAGAGGCTACTTTGAGAAGGTCCTGGAGAAGTGACCCCAGAAGTGGGAGCCAGGGGGAGATGGCTGTGCTGAGAAGGAGTCTGAGAGAAGTAGGTGGGCTGGACCCTCCACTCCTCCTGCCCCCTGGGCACACCAAGAACCCTTCACCAGCCGCCTCCTCGTGAAAACAGGGAGGCTGAGCCAGAAGTTACCCAGCTCCGGGAAAAGCCCTGGTTTAGGTCTCTAAGGAACCCTGCCCAATGATGTAGAAGCACGGACCAGAATCTGACTGATCTCATCAGGCCGCTTGTGTAGGACTGTGATGCCATTGACTTCTCGAAGCTCGTCTCCAACATGCACCAAGCCTAGGAGAAGACAGGGCAAAGTGTCAACACAGGAAGGGGCCCAGGCCTGGAGCTCAGAGCTGGGGTTCCACCTAAGGAACCCACTATAGGGCAGCCTTGTGAGGTCAAAATGCAGGAGATGAGACTGGGCTGAACTGAGTCTCTATGGATGCTGGGTGCCTCCCCCACATCACAGTCCCACAACCACACAGTGAAAAGCCCCAATTTACAAGTTGGCAGCTGAGCCCCAGAAAGATTAAATAGCTTACCCAAAGCCATGCTGCTAAGAAATAATGGTATTGGTATTCAAGCATCGGTTTATTTGTTTGTGTGTTTGTTTTTAAGAGATACTGACTTTTTCGAGTGCTCTGTGTTCCGAGATCAGGTGGGGGGATGGGAATGCTGTTATTCAATCCAGTCAATTCCAACTCACACCAATTCCATGTGACCCCATGGGGTTTTCTAGGCTGTAATCTTTACAGGAGCAGATCTTTCTGCCACAAAAGCACCGGGTGAGTTCAACTGCCAATCTTTTGGTCAGCACTCGAGTTCTTAACCATTGCTCTACCAGGGCTCCTTCAATCTCAGCTATTTTGACATGGAAAGACCATGCTCTTTGGCTACAATGTCTGCCTCTTTAAAAACATCATTAATTCTTCACATTAATTCTTCCTAAGTTTACAGAAACACTGCAAGAACTCACTCAATGTATGCAGGGATGGATACTGGGAAGAGGTAACTATGGGGAGGAAATGGAGGGGAGCTATTGCATTGTGGTAAACTGTGGTCAATGACATGAGACAAAGTATATGTGAACTGCTGTATGGAAAGTGAATTTGCTCTGTAAATCTTCACCCAAATCACAATGAAAAAATAAATAAATAATAAAAAAAGAACTCACTCAAGTCTTAGTGAGGAAACTTCAAGATGACAGTGAAGAGCACTAAACACACCCATCTATTAGCCTCTGGTTTAATGATAAGTGTCTCTACATACTAGGGCCCTATCTGCTACTCAGCATGGTCCCTGGGCCAACAGTATCAGCATCAGGTATGATACGCAGAATCTTAGACATGCAAAATCTTGGGCCCACCCAAGACCTACTGCATCTGAATCTGCATTTGAAGAAGATCTCCGAGGGATTCATGTGTTCCCTAATGTTTAGGAAGGCCTAGGATTCTCTACACAGTGATCCCCAACCTTTTAGGTTAACACCCCCAGAATGGCCAGGAGGTTTGGCTCCCTGTCGAGTAGCTCTTCCACGCACCAGTGATTCTCAGCTTGCTTTCCACCCAAACAAAGCCCGGAGATGAACACTCTCCCCTCAGTAACAATGGCTTGCTTGCTATAGCAACCTGGGTGCTGGGGAACTGGGTCTCCCTTGTCCCCAGGTAAGGATTATTCTTGTCCCATGCTATGTCTTGACTCTCATAGTCCTAAGCCAGCACATGAGCTCTTTCTGATTACTCCCAAAGTGCTCCACACATGTTGTATTTTCAAACAATTACAATTTCTGCTGGGTTTGCGAAGGAGATGAGAATTCCAGCCCCACTCCAAGAAAGTGAGGCATATCCTAAACAGGTGACTGGATAGGAGTGTGGAGGGAGACCTGTGGCCACAGGGGGAAAGCTCTGGAACCATCACCTCAGCCAGGCCTGCACTGCCGCCACTCACCACTCCGGTCTGCTGCACCCCCTCGCATGATCCTGGCCACGACTACAGCCCCCGAGTGCTCGTCCCGTCTGATGGTGGCACCCTGCATTGGACACAGAGAATGTAGGTCCTAAGAAGCAGCCCCACACCTCAGACACGGACTCACCGAGCCCAACAGAACCTCCCTTGTCCCTCCTTCTTCACCCCAGACAGCAGAGCAGTACAGAACTTCCCCACACTAAGGACATGCTGCAATAAAACCAACATCTCACATCAGTATGTGGTTAGCAGCCTTTGAGTCCAGTCTCAACTCATGGCAACACCATGCATAATGGGATCAGGCTATTGTGATCCATAGGGCTTTCACTGGCTGATTTTTTGGCAAACAGATCACCAGGCCTTTCCTCCTGGTTCATCTTAGTCTAGATGCTCAGTTGAAACCTGCTTAACATCATAGCAACACAAGCCTCACTGGCAGACGGGGGATGGCTGCACTTGAGGTACGTTAGTAGGCATCAAAATCAGGTCTCCTACATGGAAGGTGAGAGGTCTACCACTGCGCCCCCACGACCGTCGGCATTAGTACAGTACAGCCCATTACTATTTGTGAAGCCCAGTAAAATCCCGTTTTAGAGATGAGGGCCTGGGGCTCAAAGAAGCTAAGCATTTCCCTCAAGGTCACAGAGCAAAGCTTTAAGTGACTCTGAATCCAGTGTTTTCTCTTTCCTGTCACAGCCCCTGCCATTCACACGGCCATTTAATGGGGATAACACATGCCAGCAAATTCTCAACCTGCCTCTATAACCAACTGCAGGGACCTTTGGTGTTGCTGAAGGGAACCAATTATGCTCTAGCCAGACCTTAGGAACTGAGACATTACTCCCTGTTTAAAACCGTGCAATAGTTTCCTACTGTCTTGGGGATCAGGTAACTGGGTGTGGAAAATCAGGCCCTTTATGATCTGACTCACCGAGCTCTCTGGCCTCACCTCAGTCACCTTTACTTCAAATATGACATTTTAGCCACAGCAAGCAGCTAGGCACTCCCTGAACACACTGTGCTGTCCACCTTCCCATGCGTCTGCAAGGCAGTTCTTACTGCTTGGAGTGCCCTTCTCCTCCTTTTTCTTTCTGGCAAACTCCTTTCCCTTTTTCAGGAATTCAGTTTGGGCATCACCTCTACCAAGAAGCCTTCCATCATTCACCATCCCATCCTCAGTCACTCCCTCCTCAGACTAGATATAAGAACTTTCTGCCTCCCTGTTATGCCTGCAAGCTCCCAGAGGGCAGGGACTAAGTCTCTCATTCATCTGTGAAGTACCAGCGCCCAACACAGTGCCTGGCACATAGGAGGGCTCCCAATCCATTTGCTGAGTTGACAGATGACTGCTGCAGGGTGCAGAGGAAGAAACGGAGGCAGGAGACAGATCCTCATCCATTTGCAGAAGCAGCTCATTGGAGGTTATTTGGTGAAAGTGAAAGTAGGAAAGGCTGGATGTGGCATTCTCTTGGATGAGCATCGGTTTCTCTGGACGTCCACCATTTCTCTCCATCTAGTAAACAATCTGTTACTTGGCTCAAGAAATCGACACTGAACAAGGACCAAAATGGTAGCAATCTGCCAGCCAGAGTGAAGAGTATCTGGTGCCTTGAGCTTTCTCAGTATTGTATTCAGAGAAAACTAGGGGCTGTAGAGTCAATTCTGACTCATGGAGACCCCACGTACGTCACAGTAGAACATGCGCTGTAGGGTTTTCAAGGGCTGACTTTTCAGAAGTAGATTGCCAGGCCTTTTTTCCTAGGCACCTCTGGGTGGACTCGAACCTCCAACCTTTCAGGCTGCACACTCTTACTCACTCATGCCATGGAGTCCATTCTGACTCATAGCAACCCCTACTGGGTTTCCAAGGCTGTAAATCTTTACAGAGGAGCTCTGGTGGCACAGTGCCTAAGGCATTTGACTACTAACCAGAAGGTTGGCGGTTCAAACCCACTAGCCACTCCTCAGAAGGAAGGTTGGACAATCTACTTCCATAGTGATACCATCTTGGAAACCCAAGGAGAGGTTGCTAGGAGTCAGTCCAACTTGATGACAATGAGTTTGTTTTTTGAGTTTTTTTAAATCTTTACAGAAGAAGACTGCCTCATCTTTCTTCCATGGGGCAGTTGGTGGGTTTGAACCACTGACCTTCTGGTTAGCAGCGAAAAGCCTTAAAGGTGAGCATTAACTATTATTAACCACATGCACCACTCAGGAACTCCAGTATTCAGAGAAGTTGTTTTGTGTTGTCAAGTCGATTCCAACTCATAGTTACCCTACAAGACAGAGTAGAACTACCCCACAGGGTTAGCTAGGCTGTAATCTTTATAGGAGCAGATTACCAGGTCTTCTCTCCCATGGAGTCACTGGTGAGTTTGAACTGCCAACCTTTTGGTTAGCAGCCAAGTGGTTAACCATTGCACCACAAGCGTCCTTATTCTGAGAAGGGGGCTGGGGGGGTAAATATTTTAGGCTTTGCAGACCCAACTGTCTCTGCCACAATTATTCAGCTCTGCCATTGCAGTGTACGTGCAGCCACAGACGATGTATAAATAAATGGGTGTGGCCATGCTCCAATAAAACTTTATTTATAAAAATGGGTGGTGGGCTAGATTTGCCAACCTTTGGTTCAGCGCTCAATGATCAGGGCAGGTTATTTATTACATGGGGTAACTGTGGAATGAGGGGGGCTATGTCCCACAAAGAAAGGGGTATGTTACCCACAAAGTTGCCATAAGGACTAGCACTAGCAGCAGTCCTAGAAGCTGCCATCACCCACTCCAAAGACTTCAGGAAGATTCCTTCCCAGTTTCATGTTCAAGGTAGGATGCAGTGGGAGGAAGAGGGTTGGAATGGGGAAGGCAGTTGGTGCCACATACCAGGGGTTCCTTGTTTTTCACCAGGCGGACGATCTTCACTGATTCCTCTTCAAAATCCTCATCAATGTTATCAGGCAAAGGAGGGAGGACAGGGTCAAAATTCTTCTGGGCAACGGTGTCATGTACCATGAGCACAGCCTATCAGGAGGGACAGAGAAACGGAGGGCTGGTTCCACAGCTCACCAAGGGTCAGGGGGTCACGTCTGGGCAGTCGTTTGGTGGTCTTGGATCACATGCCAAGGAGACCCCCCCCCAGATTCTGCCTCCTCACAAGGAGTCTCCTCTGTCTCACCACCAAGCACTCCCTGCCACCCCCATCCCAGAAGACACAAAAGGTGTGGGCGGGCAGGGACTGCGGCGTGACTACCCTGAGGTGGGGGGTGGACAGCAGCTGGAGCAGCTCCCTCTCATCACTGTGCACAGAGGCAGCCTGCAGCTCCTCCATCACCTGCAGCGGATGAGAGAATGACACAGACAGCTTGGGGCTGGGGAAGGGGTGGGGATCTCCCTGCCGCGAGCCTGCTGGGAGCCCCATGGAAAAAACCCTGCTCAGACCCAGGGCACAGCTGACCCTCATCCTCCCCAGGGGAACCAGGCCAGGGACCAGGAGTGCTGAGCAGTTCTGCATTGGAAATCCTAACAGGAGCTACATCTACAAAACCTTTACTGTGTGCTGTTTGCTTTACATGGAACTCATTGAATCCTCACAACAAAACCAAAACCAAAACTAAACCCATGGCCAAGCTGATTCCAACTCATGGCGATCCTGTGCATGCAGAACAGAACTGTTCCAGAGGGGTTTCAAGGCTGTGACCTTTTGGAAGCAATCTGCCAAGTCTGTCTTTCCAGATATCTCTAGGTGGGTTCAAACCACCAACCCTTCTGCTAGGAGTCAAGCACTTAACCGTTCATACCACCCAGAGACAGGGAAATCCTAACAGGAACTAAATTTAGAAAGCCCTTATTGTGTGCTGGTTGCTTTACATGGACCTTCTCATTTAAGCCTCATTACAAACCTAGATGAAACAGGTACTATTATTTTGCCATTTTGCAAATGAGAATCCTGCAGCTCAGAGAGATTAAATATTCGGTTAAGGTTGCACAGCACGTAAGTGGCACAGGCAGGATTTGAATTTGGGATTATCTGGCTCTACAGTCTGCGTCCTTCACCACTGTGCTATTTTATGGATGAGGCTCAAAGGGTGACTTGTCTGATGTCACAGACCTAGTAGTACAGGCAGCACTGAACCCAGGAACCAGGTGTCTAATATGTCCCCAATGCCTGCTCCATGTGGAGAAAAGACTCAGGGACCTGCAGCCATAGGCTGTACCCAGCCCCTACCAGACCATCTCCTGGGGGAGGTGCATTTATTCAGGGGCTGGAATGGCCTTGGTAATCAACTGGCACAGCTTTTGCCAAAGCACACATCCCAGAGCACTAGGTCCACAAGAAACCAACAGGCACTCCTTTGAAAGCAGAGATGCCTAAGCTAGTAAGCCAGGGCATGCTGCAGGGTCCTTTCCTTCAGGACTTCGCATTGGGCCTCAAAGGCTTAGGCCTGACGTGCTTCTTTGCCCTATTCATAGCTCCGGTCCTCGGAACCGTTTGGAAACTGCCGATCCAAGGCAAACACTCTCATTGTGCCACTGAGGAAACAGACTTTCTCAAGAACACACAGTAAGGGGGCATCATATGTCATCGTGTCTCGGGACCCAGTCCAAGGCTCAGAGTTCCTCCCGCCTGCCAAGAGGCCTGGGGAGGAAGATGAGGATGAGGAATGGAGACACCTCTTGGGAGTCCCCATTCCTGATGTTCCTTGGTTAAGTAATGGCAACAAGGCAAGATGAAGGGACCCCACAGGTTGGGGAGCGGGCGGACACCATAAGGAAAACCCTGGGGCTTACATCCTCAGCAAGGGCCATGGCGTTGTGCAAGACTGGGGTGGGGCTTTGCCTCTCGTAATAGCGGAGCTTCTCGTGAATCTGCAAAGACAGCAGGTTTCAGGCTGGGAACCCCCAGGCCAGTTGGACACCATACACCCCACTCATGGCTGCAGGGATAGCTGGGCCTGCAGACAGGCTCACTGACTGAGTGGCATAAGAGAAAGCCCTGCCTGGCTAGGTTAGTGAAGACCTTTCTGGGGCCTCTGTGGACCACAGACATCTAAGGCAACCAACCAAACCCACTGCCGTCAAATTGATTCCAATTCCTAGTGACACCACGTGCTTCAGAGCAGAACTGTACACCATAGGGTCTTCAGTGGCTGCAATCTTACAGAAAGGAGCCCTGGTGCTTCAGTGGTTAAGTGCTCAGATGCTCAGTGAAAAGTCAGCAGATTGAACCCACCAGTCTGCTTCTGCAAAAGGTTTACAGCCTCAGAAACCAAATGGGGCAGTTCTACCCTGCCCTATAGGGTCACTACGAGTCAGAATTCGACACAATGGCAATGAGTTTGGTTTTTGGTTTTTAATCTTATGGAAGGAGATCATCAGGACTTTCTTCCACAGCATCATGGGGTAAATCTGAATTTCCAACCCTTCAGTTAATGTTGTTGTTGTTATGTGCCATCGAGTCAGACCCGGCTCATAGCAACCCCTCCTTGGGTTTCCGAGGCTGTATCACTATGGAAGTAGATTGCCCAACCTTCCTTCCGAGGAGTGGCTGGTGGGTATGAACCACCAGCCTTCTGGTTAGCAGTCAAGTGCCTTAGGCACAAACTATTGGCACCACCCCAAAAAATAAACCAAACCCACTGCCATCAAGTCAATTCTGAGTCATAGTGACCCTACCGGGGAGAGTAGAACTGCCCCACAGGGTTTCCATGGCTATCAATCTTTATGGAAGCAGACTACCTCATCTTCCTCCCACAGAATAGCTGGTGGGCTTGAACTGCCAATCTTTTGGTTAGCAGCCAAATGCTTTTACCACTGTACCACCAGAGCTCCCTAGGCCTCTAAAAATCCTAACCAGGCAGATGCAATGGGACTTTACCTTCATTAAGTAACTGAGGCTTTTCTCACTAAACACATCCCTCAGGAAGCCCATCTCCTCCTTGTGGTTGGAGTCAGGTCTGAGCTGAGAGGTCAGCAGTGCTAGAGTCTCATGCAAACCTGAGGAAAGTGTAAGAAACAAAAAAAAAAAGTCAATGCAACGGGTACTTCCTGTCCCTCAGGATCCCCGTGGACTCTCAAACAACACTTGAGCCTGCCATGGGCAGTCTTGCCCCAGGCTCTCTTTCCCAGGGCTTGGAGGCAAGGAAGGCAGCTTCTAAGTGACAGCACCAGCCGTAGCCTGGTCTCCCTTCAGCTCTGGCTACCAGGTGGGCACCAGCCCCAGGGACACTCACCCGAGTCCTCAGACAGCACCGGCATGCCTGGGCCCCCCGTCAGAGCCACGGCTCTTCCTGCAGGGTCTGGAGGAAAGGGAGAGAGGGAGATACTGAAGTTCCACCAAGCATATTCACTCAGCCGTTATTACATATCTATGCATAACCAATTTAGGGTCAGAGGGGATAGGGACAAACAATTCTGCTCACTTTTTTGGGGTAAGGAGCTCTGGTGGTGGAGTAGTTAACGCATTTGGCTGCTAACCAAAAAGGTCAGTGTTCGAATGCACCAGCCACTCTGTGGAGAAAAGATGAGGCAGTCTACTTCTGTGAAGATTGACAACCTTGGAAACCCAATGGGGTCGCTATAAATCGGAATTGACTCAATGGCAGTGAGCTTGTTTTGGTTTTTTTGGAGGGGGAGGCACGAGACATGGGGAGAGAAAGAAAACTAAGATTTGCCAAGTACGCTGATATACCAAGTATGTGCTGAGCAATTTTATGTGACATCTTCCTTAATTCACACAAAACCGTGAAGAACAGATCAAAATATTCCTATTTTACTGATGAAGGAACAGAGGCTCGGGGACTCAGTAACTTGCTCAAGGTGGGGCAGAATCCACACTCAGGTGGGCCCTTCTGGGCAGGCCTGGAAGGAGCCAAGTGGCCCCGCCTAACAAAATGCTCTGGTCCACAACACCCCCACTCTTCTGTTACCTTCTGAGAGACCTGCTCAAGTCTCCTGGGCACCACACCTTCAACAAGTACCTGGCTGGGCCTACACCACCCCCAAGACTGGACTTGAACCAAAGGGAGCCTCAGGAATGGAGCCCAAAGAGGAGGTGGAGAAGTAAGAGTCAGTTTCAACTATGCTGGAGAGGGACCCCTATCTCAACATGTTCCGCAGCACGTGGACCTCAAAAAGTCCTCCTTCAGAAGGGGACAAGGGGAGTAATGACTCATTCATTCCGTAAACATGGAGCCAGCCCCACCGAGCTGAGCAGCAGTGACACTAACATGCATAAGAATGGTACCCTGGCCCTCCAGCCCCCCACCGTCACGCCAGCTCACCCTCTGGCTTCTTCCAGTGGCCCCCACGTCCCCCAGGCTGCCAGACATCGACTCCAGCTCCTCTCTGCAGGGACCTGTGGGACGAACAAGGCACGCGGCTGAGCGAAAGAGAGGCGAACCCCAGGGCCGCTCGGGGGCGGCCACAGAGGATGCTCAGAGGCGGGAAAGGAGCTGGGCGCCCGCGAGGGGGCGCGGCGGGAGGCCGGGGACCCGGGGCCGGGCTGAGAGTCCCCAGGGTAGCAGCGCGGTGGGCCGCGAGGCTGCGCGGGTGCACGATGGGCGGGTCTCGGCCCGGCCTCCCCGCCCCGCTGGGCCCTCCTGCGGCAGCTCCCGGTCCCTTGTCTGCTCCCTGCGCGGGCTCCTACCTCGTCGCGCCCCGAGCTCCGCTCGGCGACCGGGAGCGCGCGGGTGCGGGGAGCCTGGGCGGTCGCTGGCTCCGCCCTCCCGGCCCCTCCCTGCCGCGGCCACGAGGGGCGGGGGTGGCGGAGCCCGCGGTGGAGGACGAGAGGAGGGGGAAGGAGGGAGACCAAGAGGAGAGGAGAGAGCCCTGGGCTTCTGGCCGCCCCAGGCTCCGCCCTCCCACCCCGACCCCCTCCTCTCTCTCCTCCTCCTAGAGCCTGGAAGTGCCCACTGGCCTGCGCCCTTCATACTCAGGCACACAGCCAGCCTTCCCTTCTGTCTTCACTGCCCTCACATACCCCGCCTTCCGCGTGTGGACCGGAGGACACTCGCTCAACATATATTTCGATTCCGTAAACATTTATTGAGCGCCCTCCAAGTGCCAAGCACTGCGCCAGGGGTTGGAGGTTCAAAGACAACCAAGGCAGAAAGCCTGGATTTGAAGAGCACCCAGGACGGGCTGGGGGACCGGTCAGACTCCAGGGCAACTCGCTGTGACAATGCAATGTGCAGGGAAAGAATGATGGGTGCGCGCTGTCCCGGGGGCGCCGAGAAGGGAAGGAGAAGTCGGGCTGGAGGCGAGGCACGGCCCAACTCTGGCCGGGCGTAGGATGATGGGACTGCGAGAAAAAGGCAGCTTTTGTCCAGGAGCTTCTCCTGAGAGACAGGCGCTGAAATGACCGTGACGATCGCTGACTTTTATTATGCTGTCTCTATGCCCCAGGCACTCCTCACACCACTTCGCATCCCATTAGCCCTTGAGATAGACACCATTATTATCTCCCTCTGTAATTGAGGAAACCGAAGTTCAGGGGTGAGAGGAAGTGTGGGGAGGGGAGGGCAGGGCAGCAGGATTGGAGCTGCTGAGTGAGTGAGCAGGTGATTGTGGTATTACAGGGTGAGGCTAGGGAGTGAGTCCTCTCCTCCCCTCCAGCAACGAAGAAACACCTATCCGGAAGGGTGGACCCAGGGGTTGAGAGGTTGAGTGGAGGCGGTAAGTTGAACCATGCCCTGCTGATCTAGCTTGTTGTTGTTGTTGTTGTTGTTGTTATTTGCCGTCGAGCCACCCCCGACTCATAGCGACCCCTCCTTGGGTTTCCGAGGCAGTATCACTACGGAAGTAGGATTGCCCAACCTTCCTTCCGAGGAGTGGCTGGTGGGTTTGAACCTAGCTTGTTAGGGAGATGAAAGGGGTCAACAGGCCCCAGCAGCAGTGTGTGGGGAGGCTGTGAGAGTCAGGATATGGCATGATGACATTTTCCCTCCTTCCTCAAAAATTATCTACATCAATGTGCCTCAAACTTCAATGTGCCTATGAATCATCTGAGGGTTAAAAAAAATAGTACTAGTAATAGTAATACCTATCGAATTCAGTAGCCTGGAGTGGCACCTGATTCTGCATTTCTAACAAGCTCCCCCATGACGTGGTGCTGTTGGTTCTTGAGCCCCACTTTGAGTAGCCAAATACTACACAAGGCACATGTTTACTTGGGGTGCTTAGTATTGAAAGAGATAGCAAGAGCCATCCTAGTATTGGGTCGAATGATTTTGACAAAGGCACCAAAGCAAATCAATGGGAAGAGAAAAATCTCTTCAACTATTGCCAGAACTAGTTAAGCATGT